AGATAAGAAGCAAAGTGACAATAAGTCCAGCAGTTCAGAGCAAATATTGCCATAAAAATAATAACAAAACAGGCAAATGTGAAAGAATGGCCATTTCAGCAAATCCTGGTAACAGCCCTCTGAGAGAGGTAGTATTATTCTCCCCACTTTCAGCTGGGACACCAAGGCCCAGTTAGATACTTTGTTCAAAGTCTCAAAGCCAGTAAACACTCAACCTCAGAGATGAACCTAGGTCTCTCTCATTCTACAATCCCAGCTTCCTTATTTGGGCTGTAAAGACACCCCTTCATTCCTTTTGCTCACAAGTTCCAAACCAAATGGCAACCATCACAATTTTTAAAAAATATATTTTATTGATTTTTACAGAGAGGAAGGGAGAGGAATAGAGAGTTAGAAACATCGATGAGAGAGAAACATTGATCAGCTGACTCCTGCACACTCCCTATTGGGGATGTGCCCCCAAACGAGGTACATGCCCTTGACTGGAATCGAACCTGGGACCCTTCAATCCTCAGGCCAACGCTCTATCCACTGAGCCAAACCGGTTAGGGCAACCATCACAATTTTTTAATGCTCAGGTTTTGGGATCTAAATAACCATGGTGTGCAGCTCAGAGAAACATTCTCCTGCTTTTGTTTAGATTTCAAGACCAGGAGTCAAGGTGCCCAGGAACTACTGTCTTTCACCACAATGAGTGAAAATAGCACATATCAAGGACTGAAAGTCTGTAGATTGCATAATGAGTAGTTATTTAATATTTTAGCAACAGTTATTAGTCATCGGGCCACATGGCTGCCACTGTACCATGATGAGGCTGCTGATGAGTTAATATTTATAGAACCCCCTCTGGAAAAAAGACCATTTACTGGGAATTTCTACACCGGATCAGCAGGACAAAGAAAGTCCCTGGTCAAAAGAACTGGATGCTGGGAGCTTGTAGGAAAAGAATCTAAATTTAGTCAAGACAAACACACACATACACACACACAATCACACACTGTGCACACAGAAAACATCTATTCACAGATTCATAGAAAGAAAAGCTTATGATTTCTTTGGAATTGCCCTTTACATACTTTCATTTGAGAATGGTGGTGGTGGGGGGGGGGGCGGGCTGGGGAGGGTTGGAATGGGAAAAGGAGCAGGAGAAGGTGTTGGCTGGGTAACCTTAAGTTGGAAGCAAAGAGGAAGCATGAGAAAACCCTTAGGAGTTGGGACTCAGTTTCCCCTGGGAGGCACCTCCCCAAGAGAGAGCAAGCTTGTTGATTCAGACCATCTCCTCGCTACCCCAGCCGGGCCCCTCTGGGATTCTGCAATCTCTCTCTCCCTTCTGCTGGCTTTTCTGCACCAGCTGACTGTCTAAAACGAGTCTGTAATCCTTACCGGGCTCAAAAAAAATACGAGTGTGGCATAAAGATAAGTAGTCCTTGATAAGCCTAATAGAGCTTGAAATAGCTTTAAACAAAGCAGCCATGTTAATTTTTAAGGTCTTTGAAAATACAAGGAACACACACACACCTTTGCTAAATAGACACACACGAACAGAATCTGTGGGGGAGAAGGATTATTTCCACCTCACTAATCACTGTCACAAAGAGGAAACACACACACACCTACTCAGTCTTTTTTTCAAGTGATCTGTGGGTCGTTTTTTTGGTGGTTGTTGTTCGTTTGTTTTTCAAGGAATATTCTTTCAGCTCTTGGGCAGGTTTATGAGGCGACAGGGAAAAGAAATCTGAGGAAAGATATTTGAAAATGAAGAGGGAGAATGTCTCATTAGAGCTTTTTGAATTATCATAACTAAGGGACCAGCATCCACACTGATGAAAAGCCTAACGACAAAGAAGCTTGAAGAACAGCTCTCGCCCGGCGCGTGGCTCCCAGGTTCGAAACCCAGTCAGGGCACATACCCAGGTTTTGGGCTCTACCCACAGTGCGGGGTCTGCAGGAGGCAGCCGATCTCTCTCGCCTCCCTTTCTCTCTGAAATCCATAAAAATAAAGAGCAGCTTTACAGAAAAATCAGCACCACGGAGCTCAGAAAGACGCATGCTCTGGCACCCCCTTGCGAGCATAAAGGGCCTTGGTGCACAAAATTTCTGATGGGAATTTGCTAATTTGCAAACATTTCCCTGCTGCAAAACAGATTAAGAGGCAGAAGCCCCACAAAAGAAGAGTGGGCAAAAGAGAGGACCATAGTTTGCGCCAGAGGAAAAGCGAACAGTTTTCATTCAGTCGACGTTTACTGTGCCTGCATTGTGCAAGCTAAGTGTTAGGTCTGACATTTAGCTTCCCTGCCTCACGAAGCTTAGGATGGGAAGTCACGTGAAGCAAGTGATTCGAAAGGGGCTGAGAAGTCCAGGGACCTGGTCTGAAAAGTGGGAAGGTTCCCTGAGGATGTCGCATTGAGTGCTGGTAACTGATGTGTGAGTTAGCTATATAAACATGAGGGTGGGAGAGGGAGGTTTAATAAACCAAAGGAAAGCATTTACATGAAATGCAATGTACAGGGTGCTCGAATCACGGACTGCCTAGGTTGGGGTCTCAGTTCCTTTGTGTCTGAACCCAGGGATGAAGCTCTGAGGTAAACACATCTGTTCTGGTGGCACTTTAAATTAGCATGGCCCCTTTGGTAAATCACTTTGGCTATACATATGCAAAGGTCATAGGACCATGCCTTCTGAGCCATCATTTAACTTCTAGAAATTTACCTAAGGCCTGTGTGGTTCCGTTGGTTGAATATCATTCCAAATACCAGGAGGTCGCTGGTTCAATTCCTGGTCAGGGCACATATCTAGGTTGTTGGTTTGAACCCCTGTTGAGGCATATACAGGAGACAACCAATGGATGTTTCTCTCTCTCCCTCTCAAATCAATTAAAAAAAACACACACATCCTCAGGTGAGGATTTAAAAAAAAAAAAATGCATCAGAGACTATCACTGTACACCATTGGAATGGTTAGAATATAAAAAAGACAAACATGGGGAAGTAATGTACAGCGTGGTGACTGTCGTTTAGTATCACCCAAGAGAAATGAAAACATGTCCACACAAAAACCTGTATGCAATTGTTTAGTGGCTTTATTCATAATCTCCAATAATTGTAGACAAGCCCAATGCCTTTCAATGGGTGAAATTTAGAATAGTAATACTTTGATACAACGGGATACTGATTGGCATTAAGACCTACTGAAGCATGAACAAAAAATGTTATGCCAAGATTTAGCATACTATCTGAAGCTCTGGAAAAGGCAAAACTCAGAAATAGAAATTCTACCATTGGTTACCTATAGTGGGAGCTGACTTTAAAAGAGCATGCAAATACTGTAAGATTTCACTTATATGTGGAATATAAAAAAACATACCAAAACAGAAAAGGACCAATAGAGAACAAGCTGATGGCATCAAAGGAGTGGGTGAAAAATTTTATTTAAAAAAGAGCATGCAGGATCTTTAGTGATAGTGGTGCTTACAAACTATAGATGTCACAAAGCTGCACACTAAAAATCAGGAATTTCACCAAGTGTAAATATGTATCAAGAAAATCAACTTTAAAACCAAAACCCATCAGAGCCATTTTTACTTCTCTATTGCCAAAAACCCATCTGATGACCCATTGTTTAACAGGCATTCTTGCCCAGGAGTATAAACTGGTACAGCCTTGGCATTTTGATAGAAATTCAAATGCATAAAGCCTTCAACTTAGCAAAAAAAAAAAAATCACTACCTACTTGGCTCTCTACATGCATACTTAATGCCATTTACTACATTGTTTATAATTGCAAATGGAAACCCAAATATCCATAGAATAGTGCTAGTGAGTTTTTTTTCCAGATGTTTCTTTCTAATGAATTGACCATTACATTTCCTAAGTTCTGAAATGGCCAACAGACCATAGAAAGACATTTCTTTAGGCGCCTGCTTGAAACCAGCAGCTTCAGCAAACTGCTGGCCTTGATTCAGGGCCAACAGACAGTTCTTACCAAAGGTTTTGTTTTCCAGTTTCAGTTACCTGTAGTCAACCAAAATAATTCGTTTTAAATTGTGCACCATCCCGAGTCATGTGCTAAAATCTCTCAACAGTCCCTCTTCGTCCAACTTGGGATGTGAATTGTCCCTTTGTCCAGTGTACACATGCTACATATGCTAGTCATAAAAAGACCAACTGTAGAGTGTCATGGCTTAGTGATCCAGGGTCACCGAAGCAGATGATCCTCCGGAGTCAACAGCCTAACACCTTATCACAATGCCTTCATCTCAGCATGAAGGTGAATATATTTTAAGACCACATTCACATAGTTTTTATTACAGCATAATTGCCCCATTATTGATGCCTCCAATTTGTAAATTAAACTTTGTCATAGGTATGTATGTGTAGAAAAAAACAGTATACACAGGATTTGACACTATTCATGTTTCAGGAATCCACCAGGTCTTAGACCACATCCCCAATGGATAAGTGGGGGACTACTGTACTATGTAGCACTAAAGATAGACACTTTTTATGGAATTATCAAAATATGTGTATTTCTATAGTTATACAATATACTATATATTAGTTTTAAAAAGGAGGGTAAATAACAATATGCATTTGCTGTGTAAGCTTTAATAAATTAGCTAGAGGCCAGAAGCACGAAAATCGTGCAAGAGTAGGCCTTCCTTCCCCTAGCTGTTGGCACCTGGGTCCCGGGCTTCACTCGAAGCCCTGGCTTTGTCGTCTAATTAGCTTATCACGCTTTTATTATAGATGATTATAGGGGTGAGGCTGAGAATTAGATGGAGGAGAAATGGATTGTAAATCATTGAATGGGATGAGTCTGTGACCTAAAAGACCTATCTCATCCATGTACACTAACTGGCTTAGTGACTGGAGAAATGCTATTTTATATTGGCAGGTGCTGGGTGAAAAAGCTGAGAAGCTGGACCCTCAGGAAGTGCTTCCAATTCTCTTTGGCTGAGTCAAACACATATCGAGGCGTACAAGAAAAAAAAAAGACACAGGAAACCTATCAGTTATTTAATCGGGTTCTTACAAGAAATTCAGAACACCAGTTTGTGAGGATAAACCCCATTGGTGAGAGCGAACAGAGAGCGGAGGTAGCCCTGGAGCTGAGGAACAGCTTTGATTTTTGGCAGAATTTGTGAGTCCACAGCTTTCTGGTCAACCTTGCGCTGATCTGTAATCTCATATTTCTATAAAGAAAGAGAAAAGCATTTAAGAGTTGGGCACAAGTACCAAACTCCTGGATTAATCATTTCAAATACTCAAATCCCAAGAATATTTAGAAAGCAATTTTGATACCGCTTTCCTTGGAGGGCTGGGAAATATAACAAAAACAACAGCTCTTATTCTTTTGTCACTGCAATAACACACCAAAGACACATAAGGACGGATTCCCAACAGAACAGAAGCAGTAACTCAAGAGTTCTGCCAAAACTTCAGGATTGTGAGTTGAGCTTCTACCTGGTATTAAGAACCGTTTTTAGCAGAATCTGGAACAATATTACTCCCCAGATATTCCTCATTATTTACAACTTTCATTTTTCTTCCTTTTGTTTATTTTCACTCCTGAACTGGGGAGGCATTAAACAGAACCAGCAGCTCACCTCTTTCTCTGTGTCGAAGATCTCGCCCTCCTGGTGTCTGGGCTTGCGCAGCTTCTTCTTCTTAAAGTAAGCATCATTGAGATGTTTGGGGATTTTCACACCACTGATATCAATTTTGGTGGAGGTGGCGATGACAAATTTCTGGTGTGTTCTACGAAGAGGAACTCGATTGAGGGACAGAGGTCCTAAGGGGGGAGAAATCAATATAATGAGGGAACAGGGAAGCAAAGCTCTAAGAACTGACTTTGAATTTGGTGAAATCAGGAGAGTTGAATTTCTGAGTTTTCTCTGGAGCTGAAGAAATTCCAGACTGCTCTTTCTGCTGACTCCATCAATACTTTTTCACTCTTTCTCTTTGAGGCAGCAGATCTTTGCGAAGACCCTGACTGGCAAGACCATCACCCTCAAGGTTGAGCCCAGTGCCACCACTGAGAAGGTCAAAGCTAAAATCCAAGACAGAGAGCATCGCCTCTGACCAGGAGCATCTGATTCTTGCAGATAAACAGGTGGAGGATGGCTGCACTCTCTCAGGCTACAACATTCATAAAGAGTCCACCCCGCACTCGGTGCAGGACAGCATTGAGCCCTCTCCCCACCAGCTCGCCCAGAAGTACAATTGAGATGAGATGATTTGCTGCAATGTTATGTCCACCTGCACCTGGGCACTGTCAACTGCTGCAAGTAAGGCCCACCAACAACCCGTGCCCCAAGGTTAAATAAGGTCCCTCCACCACTTCCTTGGCCTGCAGGTTCAGCCTGAACCCTATGGCCTCAATTTTTCTCTTGCCCATTTAGCAACTCCATTCTATTGCCAAATGGCAGACCAATTACGAGTCTTGGGTAGGATGCATTCCTTGGGGCTGGTACCAACCATTCTGCATTTTAGGTGACAGTTACTTAATAATGTTGTTACATAACACTGAAATACCTGATTCTTTAGAACTCATGTATATAAGGCAATGAAATGGGGCTCAGCATCTCATGGCATTAAAACTTCCACATAGGTGGAAGCTAAGTGTATAC